GGTCTGGGATACTCACCTCAAGTGCCTCTTTGGTAATGGGGTATTTCTCCAGGCTGGAGATGACTTCCAGCACCGCCACCATGTTCCGGATCTGTGGAAATAAAGAAAAAGCCATTTGTCAGGTTCCTGCCCTTCTCCCCTGGGAGGCTGGGACACCCTACCCCAGCCTGCTCCAGTCTCTCCCCAACCCCAGAGCAAGAGGAGCTGGCAGCACTGAAGCCCCCACTCCATGTAGTCTCCTACCTGCTCCCCAGGCCAACCTGGCACCCAGTGCTCATCCTCACCCGCTGTCCGCCGGACTCCCCGAGTTCCCAGCGCAGGAGGCAGCTGGGCCCCGGCCACCCGCCCACCTGCCTGCCCGCCCGCCCGGCTTCTGCAAGATGGGAATGCACTTCGTGGCTGACGGGCCGGTCAGTCCAAACAGACATAAGGCAGAATGTTCAAGCGCCCGTCATCGCCGTGCGGATCAAGCGATATGCACTGCGTCCAGTCATACCAGTTACCCTGTGTGTCCTGACACCCGTTCACCCCCGGCCACTGGCTGGCCTGGATTCTGTCGAGATCGTCCTGTGTGATATCCCGGGTCAGCCCGGGGAGGTCTGTGGGCGGGCTTTGAGGCACCAGCACGTGCAGCTGCCTGGCCCCTTGCCGGGTGCTCTCCTCCTGCTTCAGGTACTCAGACATGAAGTGGTGAGCCCCCGGGGTCTGCGCGCCCGACGATGAGAGCAGGCTGCTCTGCCGGCTCAGGTAGGACTGGATGATCTCGTTGCGTGACAGCTCCTTCCAGTTCGTCTGTTCAAAGGGGCTCTGGAGGCTGGCCTTGGCCTCCTGCTTGTCCAGCTCTGTCCTGGACTGCTGCTCCATGTGCACAGGGCTGTCTGCCCGCACTGGCTCTTTCTGGGTCAGAGGTTTGATCTGTCTTGTCATGGGGTCAAAGGTGAGCTTCCGCTCTTTTAACCGGACAGGCTTGACGCCCGCCTCAGCCACCTGCCCGTCCAAGTTAACCGTGTAATCTCGAGGCCGGTACCTCTTCTTCTTTTTACTGTCCGAGCCCCCTGAGGAGGCAGCGTCACTGTCCGCCTTGGAGGAGTCTGGGGAGAAGCCCGCCCGGGACAGGAGGGGCTCGGCTGGGGACAGCCCTGCCTTGCAGCCTGGCCCCGCCAGCCGCTGGTGGCTTTCCGGCTGCTCAAGCCAGCGCACTGGGCTTTCCGCACTGGGCAGCAGCTCAAGCCGCCGTACAGGGGGTGTGGACGGCTGTGCCAGTGGAAGCGGTGACGGCACCTGTGTGGCATCGAGCGCCTGGGGCCGCGGTGAGGGGCTGGGCACGGAGCCCTTGGGTGCATACAAGCTCTGCTGCCGGGCAAAGGAGCCCTCATGCCGTGAGTTCCGAGGACTGAAAGAGCAGCGAGGGGGCCCCTTGGGGTGGGGAGGCCCCGGAGTCTCATCCACCCTGTCCAACTGCTGCAGCACCGAAGCCTTTGGCTGCAAGCAGGGTCCAGGGGGCTTGCCCAGGCCCGGGGAGCTGGTGTGCGGCCGCACAGCGTTGATGGGGATCTTGCCACTGTGCTTGTCATTCTCGCCACGCTCCAGGCGGCCGCCCTCTGGGCCTGCATGCCCACTGCCATCCAGGGAGCCGGGGAAGCTCTCTGGACTCCCACTGATGCCATTGGTAGGGAGGGGGGATGAGTTGGGGACCAGGGGGTCGTGGCTAGCTTTGGAGACCTTAGGTGGCGGCCCTGGGTGGCCGAGGTCACGCTGGTCACCCCGGCGCTTGCGGCTGCCCAGCCTGTCCAGCCGCTGCCCGGGCAGCCTCTGGAGGTCATTGCGGCTCTTCAGGTCATGGATGCTCCTGGGCGGGCCAGCCGCCCCCACCTCCGGCCGGCAGTTGTGTGCACCCCCGTTGGCAGAGCCAGTGGCCCCCGCCAGCCCCCGCAGCGCTGCCTCATGCTGGTGTGCTGGCTCGATGAGCTTCTGCCAGCTCCGCAGCAGCTTCTTGGCCCGCTTGGCGAGCTCCTCGTTCTTGGTTTTCTTGCGGACGTCGTTGATGAGCTTCCCAAGTCGTGTTTCCTACAACCAGAAAGAGAGATGATGACATACTTTCGGGACAGGGACTTCCCCATGAGCTGAGCCAGAAATGGTGGGAAATGGCCCTGACAATGAAATGACCTGGTTCCCACTGAGCCCTAAACTGCCAGCCTCCCTGGCACAAAACTCCTGGGGATTTCCGGTCCTTTGTGACAATATAAATTCTCAAACCTAGTCCCCAGACCTTCAGGGTCCCAGGTGGCTTCTCAGCAGTGCTGTCCCGCAGGCTCCTGGTGCCAGGGGGCTGTGGACTGTCAAGGCCACTGTAAGGACACTGCCAGGGAGGCTTTCTGGATGAGAGGGTGCTGTGGCCAAGGCGGCAGCACAGAGGGTCTGCTTCAAGTGGAGGGTTGGGGATGGCGCCTCTCACTGGAGCCTCCCCCAAGCACACCTCTCCTGATGTCCCCATGTCCCCACGTGCCCACGTGCCCATGAAGTGTGCTGGGCATGCAGGATGGGATTAATGCCACTTGGTCACTGCAGTGGCCACAGGAGAGCAAGATCACGGGGCACAAGCTGTGAGGGCACACCGCCTCTCTTGGTCCTCTGAAGCAAAGACACACGCTCCTAGAAGCTGGGGAAGGTACTGGGTTGGTGCCGTCCCCTGTCCCCCATTCTGCACTCCCAAATGCGGAGGTCTGGGATACTCACCTCAAGTGCCTCTTTGGTAATGGGGTATTTCTCCAGGCTGGAGATGACTTCCAGCACCGCCACCATGTTCCGGATCTGTGGAAATAAAGAAAAAGCCATTTGTCAGGTTCCTGCCCTTCTCCCCTGGGAGGCTGGGACACCCTACCCCAGCCTGCTCCAGTCTCTCCCCAACCCCAGAGCAAGAGGAGCTGGCAGCACTGAAGCCCCCACTCCATGTAGTCTCCTACCTGCTCCCCAGGCCAACCTGGCACCCAGTGCTCATCCTCACCCGCTGTCCGACCTCCTCCAGTGTGTGGTGTGCGGTCTGCTCCAAACCCTCCAGTGTACATGGTACATATCCACCCACCTGCTGAAACCCAGGATGCTTGTGAAACAAGAGCTGCTCCTGATACTTAAAATGACCTCTACTCTGCCATCTGATGGGAGTGGGAGAGGAGACACTGAAGAATTCATCAAATAAAATCCACAAAGCTTAAAAGATCAATACATAGGCTGGGCGCGGTGGCTCACGCCTGTAATCTCAGCACTTTGGGAGGCCGACGAGGGCGGATCACGAGATCAGGAGTTTGAGACCAGCCTGGCGAACACAGTGAAACCCCATCTGTACTAAAAATAAAAAAATTAGCTGGGTGTGCTGGCATGCGCCTGTAGTCCCAGCTGCTCGGGAGGCTGAGGCATGAGAACTGCTTGAACCCGGGAGGCAGAGGTTGCAGTGAGCCAAGACCACGCCACTGCACTCCAGCCTGGGTGACAGAGCAAGACTCCGTTAAAAAAAAAAAAAATTCAATACATAATAAACCAGTCAATTTGAATCCAAAGACACCATAAAGAGAGCAGAAAGTCACAAAGTGGGAGAAGGCATAGACCACAAGCCCCAAGGAGCTGTATCTGGAACACACAGAGAATGCCTGTGCAGCAGTGCAGCTGACCAGGAGCCCAGCGCACAGTGGCTACAAGACAGGAACAGGCACTGTGCAATGAAATGTCAGCGCTAATGCTCAGCTTCTCAGCTTTATCAATAATTAGGAAAACTCAAACTGAACCCACAAATGGCTATATGATACACGCACCCCACTGACAATACTAGGTACTTCTAGGGGTACAGCCGACTTTGGGAACAGCTGGACTTTATCTGGCAGAGTGAAACATGAACACATCCCATGACCGAGTAATCCCACCCTTTTAGGATCTTGCTAGGAGCCACACCTTGTTCTAAGCACTTCCCACACATTACTAACTCCTTTAATTGTTACACCAAGAATTCCTACCGCTCAACCGCCACCTCCAGCAGCTACAGGTTTCTGGTGGGCTGGCTGGCAGGCGGGAACCCAGGGGCCCTGAGGAAACCACAGTGAGTAGATTACACAACTCCCCCCCCACCCCCACCCCAACATGATAAAGGAGTTAAGCAGGCACATGATACAAATTAAAACAGCGTAAAAGGGCACACAAGGAAATGGGCATCTCTGACCCAGCTACTGTAGCATTACCTTGCATTTTTTCCCAAAAATATCCCTTGTGTATACAGGTGTATATATCTACACTTGTCACATATTTTAAAACCAAACTGACAGTGGTTCTTGCCTTTTCTGACTTAACATCAGCAATGTCTAGCCTCAAACAGAGCCCTTCATTTGGCTCACCATCCCTTCCAGAGTGGGGAAGGCCCGACTTGAATATTGTGGGACACTTAGGCACTTTCGGTTCGCCATTACAAAACAAGGCTGCAACTGATGGCAGTGACAGACTTGATTCTGGGCTAATGCACAGACAGCTGTGGGTGAGCCGCGGCTTCACATCCATGCAGGGTGGTCACCTCGCCCCCAGGGAGGCTGCAGGCCACATCCTTGCCAAGACTGCGTGGCATGAGTTTCCATAACACGTGATTGTAAACTCAGCATCTTACACAGCACACATTTATCATCTCAGGCTCTAGGGCTCAGAAGTCAGGTCTCGGTCTTACTGGGCTGGGATCCTCTCTGGAGGATCCATTTCCTGCTCCTTCAGGTGTTAGCAGAGTTCAGCTCTTATTTATTTATTTTTTTGAGACGAAGTTTTCCTCTTGTCGCCCAGGCTAGAGTGCAATGGCATGATCTCAGCTCACTGCAACCTCCGCCTCCTGGGTTCAAGCAATTCTCCTGCCTCAGCCTCCCGAGTAGCTGGGATTATAGGCGCCCGCCACCACGCCCAGCTAATTTTTGTATTTTTTTAGTAGGGATGGGGGTTTCACCATGTCGAAGGCTGGTCTGGAACTCCTGACCTCAGGTGATCCACCCTCCTCGGCCTCCCAAAGTGCTGGGATTACAGGCGTGAGCCACCGCGTCTGGCCAAGTTCAGCTCTCTACACTGCAGGAATGAGGCCCATTTTCTTGCTGGTTGTCATCCGAAGCCATTCCCAGCTTCTGGAGGGCACTGCATCCAGCTCACAGCCCCTCCCCTTATGCCAGCTACAGGCCGAGTTCTCGCCCGGCATCTCTCTGACCCAGCCAAGATAGGTGCCATCTCTAAGGACTCCCTGACTAGGCAGGGCCTGCTCAGATGATCTCGGATCATCCCCCCATCTCCAGACTGTTCCCTTAGTCACATCTGTCATGTACAGTACCACATGCCTGGGCTCCAGGACTAGAATGTGGACGTCCTTGAGGGCTGTTAATTCTGCTGGCCTCATGGATTCTGGCTTTTCTACTCTTCTGCCCCACTTCCAGGGCAAGGCAGCCACTGCCCCTCCCTCCCTTCCCCTGTGTTGTCTCCTCTGGGTGTAAAGTTGCAGAGTGACCACAGAGCCACGACAGCAGTCCCTGCAGAGCTCCCACAAAGCTGCCCCTCTGCCAATGGGCCCATTTGCTCCTTGGCAACAACGGCCTTGCAATGTTCTCATTCAGGGCTCCAAATGACCCTGAAAACCCTGCTTCAAGCTGCATCATGGTGGGGGTGGGTGGGTGATGAGAGAGGAGATGCAGTCCTGTCCGCACTCCTCATGCAACGGGCAGGGATCAGTGCAGGGGAGGACTACGCCGTTAGGAGGCCAGTCCCAGACAGATAGCAAGGCCAACCACACCCTGGCCCAGGCACTCCAGCACCGACTCAGTCCCTGGGCTTGCCACATGGCTTCACCTCCACCCTGTTGACCTCACCCTGGTATATTTGGAGCCTTGGTTCCCCACATACTCCTGAAGCAGCAGTCCTTGCAGAGCAGAACACTGCCCAGGCCCAGCTAGCCTAGTGGCACAAAGTGTTCTTGTCCTTGGGCAGACACCATCCTGCTGCCAGAAAGGAGGGAGGAGACAGAACACCTGGGCAACCCCAGGGTCTGGCACTGAGCTGGTGCCCCAGAAATCACTGCTGAACCAACAGCCAGCCCCAAGAGTCTCCTGGAAGTTGTGTGGGAGCTGGGGACACCAGGCGAAGGTCTGAGGGCCCTGTGACTGGGTATCCTCACCCCTGGCCCCTCCCCTGCCTCATGAACCATGCTTAAGTGTGTGCAGAGAGGCCTTGAGCCTCTAGGAGCCCCAAGGGAAATGCTACATCCTTGGCAGTCCCCTTTCTGTCCCCAGCGTGTGAGCCGCTCACCTGAGGAGTAGAGGAGCCCGTCTGCTGTACCTGTAAGGTGCTAGAAACCTACAATCCTACGCCATAAACAGATGAACTCTGCCAACACCTGGCAGGGCAGGAAACGGATCCTCCAGAGAGGAGCACAGCCCGCTGCTGCCTGGATCCCAGCCCAGTGAGACTGGACCTGACTTCTGAGCCCTAGAGCCTGAGATATTAAGTGTATGTTGTGTAAGACACAGAGAGAGGGTGAGTGCCCAATGCGGCCACTCCCCGGAGCCAGCAGAAGGCAGTCAGTGATGTCAGCAGAGCTAAGGATGGGGGCAAGATGAGACTGTCCTGCCCTGCGACCTCTGGGGTCTTGATGTCAAGCAGCCTGAGCACTGTGTGGGGAGAGCCACCTGGGCATTCCAGACATAGGCCTCCCAGGCCCAGGAGGCAGACACTGAGCAATGCAGCGAGGAATCCCTGCAAAGGGACTGGCCCGGACCCCTTGCCCTCGAGCCCAGGCACACTGAGCCAGAATGCTCCACAGAGCCTCTTTATAGATGGCCACGGTCTGTCCCAAGGAACACTTAGCACCCAATTGGTGTTGGTCCCATAGGAGCAAAACATGAGCTGACTTCTGACCCTGGCCCTGGGGACCCTGCCTTAACAAGCAACTCACCCCCTACCCAGGAGTGGCAGGTCTCCCACTCTCACGGAGGTGGCCCTGTGGGTGGCAGAGGCACCAGGACTTGTATGTGGCTGAGGGGAGGCTACCGCTCTGACTCCAGGCCTGAAGTCCAGCATGAACCCTCAGGGCAGGGAGGCAGGCCACAGGGTGAGGGCAGCACCTAAGGTGGCCTCCCAGGGAGGTCAAAAAAGGATGTAGCAGAACGAGCTGTGTCCACCTGGGCTGGAGACTGACCTCCATGCTGAAAAGCAGAAAAGAGCTGGAGAAGAATGGGTAGGGAGCTGGCCAGACAGCATCAAAGCCTTACGGCAGGGAAGGGGCCAGGGGTAAGGACATCGGGAGGAAAAGCAGACCAAAAAGACCCAAGGCGGCTCCTTCACAAGCTGTCTTCTATGCCCCTTAGCCACTGCCCCCACAGACCACCTGCCCTTGCCCTGTTTCTGGGATGCCCTTGGCACCTGTCCATCTATCTGGGGAAGTACACTACATCCTAATCTCAGCACAGACAGTTTTGACTCCACATGGGGAGCCACTCCAGATGACAGCCTCAAAGGATGGCTTTAGGGCAGCTCTTCGGGCTTGCCAGGGCCACGTCTGTGGCCCGATGGCCAATTGCAGCCTCTTGCTGTCAGGAATAGCCTGGCACATCTGAGGCCCCCTCATCCTTTGGATTCTCCCTTGGAATTTATTCCCAGTCGAAAAAAACCTCTCAAAACACCTGCCAAGTGGCTTTCCCAAAGCGGCAGGAATCCCATCAGGAAGTGCAGCCTCTCACTTCTCCACTAGGGACCCCTCAATAGATGCAGATGGGTCTGACCTTCCTTAACCACCAGCGAACACAGGCGTTGCC